ATGTCCCATGAAATTGCAATGTTTTTGACTTTTGGTCAAATGTCTAAATATTCTTAAAAACAGCAGGGGCAATTTGGTAATTTACCTTAAGAGTTTGGAACATAAAAGTTATAATATTTGTGAGGCAAATACCAAAATTAAAGTTGCATTTTTTTTCATGGGACATCTAAAGATGAAAAATGTTGCATTTTTTTACGAGACACCAATGGAACTATTTTCAATGATGCGGATGCAATGCAAGGGTATTTACGTCTTTTTGCACATGTACATGGTTATTGCAGAATGTGAAGGCAGTGTTTGATGCAGCCATTAAAGTGGTTCTGCAGCCACCAAAGCAAAAGAAGAAAAAGAAGCGAAGGGGTCAAAAATCATGCTCCATTCTGTAACTTTGTGCACAAGATTTTTAGTATGAATCGAATGGAAAAATGGGAAGAAAGTTTGACTTTTCAATGGTGAATGCTCAAGTGTTGATCACTGTGGCCTTTATATAGTTTTTGATGAATTTGCTCACTTTTATTGTGTTTTGTGTTGTGTAAGTTGATATATGTAATTCTTTAACACCAAATAGTTGAGACTTTAGGGGACTATTTGGGTAATATGTAATATGGTTTTATGTAGATTGTGGAAAGATGTTGATTTTAAGAGGGTTGAAAATGAAATTACTTTTGAATGGTTACTATATATGCTTAGGATGTATCGGTTTTGCGGATCTCAGTGGAACTGTAATCGGAGATTCCGTTCCACAAGATTAATGCGGACAAGCCAACGGAGATGAACTCCCACATTTCCCTTGTAGCCCAATTTGTTGTTCATACATGTGTAGTTGCTTATGAACCTCTTAATAAATGTTGCTGAGTGCTCTAAGCTGTATTTTAACATGCTTAAATAATGCATATACTAAACATTCAAAGGGTCATTTTTGATTTAGAAGAAATGAATACTAATTCTCATGTTTTATAGGGGTGTCATAAATAAAACAAAACTGAATAACTCGCCTAACCTAAATAAGGCTTGGGTTACTTGGTTGGGGCTATTCAGTTTTTGGGTGATTCATTTCGGTTTTAGGTAATTTTTTAGTATTTCACATGCACCGAATAAGCAATTAGATTAATATTTATATTTGGTTGGGGCTATTCAGTTTTTGGGTTACTTTGCAATTTCTTAAGTGTTAGTAAGTTGTAAAAACGGAAGTCGAATTTTAATTTACAAATTTTCTAGAGTGCATGTGTTTTTAATGATAAACTAGGGTTGCAACTTATCTGTATTTTGGTTTATTCCACACCTCTATTATAAATGGTTTAATCGACTAACTGAACCGTATAATCCAAAACTAATTAAACCAACTTACGTGTATTTTGGTTTATATATTTTTAAAAAAATCGAATAAACTGAAACACTATTAAACGGATCCAAAAACACCGGTGTCGGGTAAAAAGAGGCTATTTGGCATTGCACAAACCTGGCCTTTGGTACATGAATTGTCTGCTTTATGTTTTAAATCAAGAATTTAACTCATTTAAAAAGTGTTGAAATGAAGTTCCATTATGTGGCATCTTGTTTCTGCATATCAAAGAGTTGCATTCAATATTTAGAAAGAAAAAAAAAAAACTCTTACTTTGAGACCAAGTTTCTCAACACAAGTGCAAAAGTCATCCATGGTCCATATGATGGAAGGAAGAACGCAGTCAACAGTAATAAACTCACAACTAACTGAAATATTTGCTCCCAAGGGATGTTTAATTCATATTGTTGGAGTAGATTTTTTCTCTCATACAAGGCAAATAATGCCAAGTTGCCTTATTCTTTTACTACTAGCTCAGCTAAGAAAGACTTGACTAAAAACAAAGATTCAACCAGATAAGAGAAAAAATCAAATTGAAAAATACCATATTTTGGGTAAAGAATACCAACAGACACTGTACTAGGTAGCAAACAGACCAACAAGTTATGTACTAAACATTCATGGTGTCAAGTAAAATGTATTAATCCTCATTCCTGGGTACACAAGAGTGCATTTTCCTTCCATCAACAAAGATATTCAGTTCATAGTTTCCCGCATCATCTTGCTCCTGTCGTATTATTTGAAGGGATACGAGAAGAGAAGCACCACAATTCTCAATGTGAATATACTCAAGCGTTGAGATGTCCCCTAATTCAAGGGGTATCTCTTCAAGATCAATGCAATTCAACACCTCTAATCGTTCGAGACATGGAAAGTTGATACTTGAGGCTTCCCATTTTTTGATATTTAAATTTTGAAGTCTCAAGAATTTCAGTCGTTGAAACTGCTCTTCACCTGCTTCCCACAGGGTTCCGTTAAAGCCATTGTCTTTTATTATAAGAGCCTCAAGATTAGGTAACGATTGAATGATCCACATGTCGCTCCATGGTAGACCACACCTTTCAAGTTGAAGCTCTTTCAGTGTTGCAGGGAACCTAAAGTGATATTTTCCCAGGTTTGGTTCACCTCTCAGAAATTCTCCCTCAACTGATCTCCTTCTGCTGTAGCCCAACCCAATTAACTTCAATATTTGAAGGTGATGGAGTACTTCAAAGTCATTTTCCTCGTCAGAGTAAATAGTAGATACAAGTCTCTTGATCCCGGGAAAACATTTCTGAAAATTATCTACCCCTTCTCCCAGCACCACTTTCGTAATAATTTCCAGTAGTTTCATCGGTTTTCCTATAGAAGGAAGATAAAGATCTGCGTTACAGTATAAACGCCTCAGATTCACCAAATCTGATATGTTACTAGGCAAAACCATAGAACTAGACATTGTATTAATATCGAGGGTTTGAAGGTTCCATAAACTGCATATTGATGGTGGGAATGATGACAGCCAAATGTAAAGGTACCTTAAGTGAACTAGTAATGCTAAACCGGGTGAGAAATCATTCGATTCACATATTTCTAGATGTAACACCCTAAGAAGTGCAAAGGAATGGAAAAACTTTGAGATATTGTCGGTTAAGGTCGTTTCCCTTTGATAGCACACAAGTGATCGAATACTTGGGGTGGGCGGATAAGACAAACTCATAATGTCGATATCTTGATTTGTAAACACACGGCGTTGCTTATATGTGGTAATTACCTCACAGAGATGATGTTTAGATGGTGGCCAGTCTATTTTCAGCAAGAATCTTTCTTCTTTTCCTTTTTCCACACATAGCTGCCTCACAAGATCATGGACTTTACAATCACTGACATCACCCGCAGCATACCATTTTTCTACAATTAGAAGATTTCTGTCAACTAGATCCATCAGGTAACCGTTTGCAATTTCCTCCAAGCTTCGACTTCCATCTTCTTGTATAAATCCCTCAGCCATCCATATCCAAAGCAACCTTTTTGAAGAGATCCGGTAGTCTTCTGGAAACCCTCCCAGATAGAGAAAGCACTCTCTCAAGTGAAGAGGCAGATGGTGGTAACTTAATGCTATTGTTTCCAAACATCCTTTCTCCTTACTAGCCATGTAAGAACTGACACTGCAAGAAATTTTTACCCACAAATCTTTAGTCCCTGGTTCTTTTGCTAAAACTCCTGCCATCACAACCACAGAAAGAGGCAATCCATGACAGTTTTTTGCAATTTGCTTTCCTGGATCAACCAACCATTTGGGACATTCATCTCCTTGGAACACCTTCTCACACAGCAACTTCCAACTTTCTTCTTCTGTCAAATGTTGTAAATGATGAATGAGTCCATGTGATTTTGCATGTGCAGCAACTTCAGTGAGGCGACTAGTAAGTAGAATTCGACTTCCATTGTTATGATCAGGGAAAAACAACTTTAACTTATCCCATGCCTCTGTACTCCAGATATCATCAATGACAATCAAATATCTCTTACAGTACAGGCTCCTGTGCAACATTTCACGAAGTTGAGAGTCCGTTGCTTTCTTAAGCTCTAATTGATCATCTATGGATGACAGAACTTGAATCAACAGATCCCTCTTGTCATATGTTTGTGAAACAGTGACCCATCCACGGACATGAAAATGATAAACAACATAAGGATCAGTGTAGACTTTGTTAGCAAGGGTAGTCTTACCTATTCCACCCATACCAACAATAGACACCACATCCAACTGCTTCCCATCTTCAGCAATTTTGTCCCGTATTATCTCAGCATCACGATCAAACCCCACAACTATTTCTTCCTTCGATCCCCTTGAATTTCTAGTGCGGGAATTTCCAGCAGATTGCATTTGCAGTGTGTCAGGTCTCAGAGAAGAGTCCATCTTCATGTTATCGATGCTCATAGTCATGGATTCCATCTTGATAGAATTGATTGATCTCATAACCACTTCAAGATTCAGAGACGGGCAAATGACATCAGATGTAGGGAAATAGCCGTAGTTTCCAAAGTGGACAGTGGATAGAAAGAGATCGACGATATCTTCTGCTTCTTCTGCTACTGCTTTGAATCTTTTCCTCAGAGTTGTGACTTTTTCAATGTTTTCTAGGCCATGGTTTTGGTGGATGAAAAGGGTTTGGATCATGGATCCAAGCTTTTCATAAAGCATTTGGAATTGAGGCCCTTCACGTACAATTGATGGTATCTTGATGATTGGAACATCGTTGGAGTATATCAGCTGCTTCAACTTTTCCATGAACATCTGCACATCTGCGTATGTCATCTTGTTTCTTCCCCACCTGAAGATCGGCAGTAGTCTACAACGAAATTGTTGGGTTAAGCCAATAAAATTACTTGACTCGAGTTTTGGTTGATTTTAATGAAGTGGTCTAATTGATGAATTAGGGTTATGATTTATGAGTATATATGGAATTATGGATCCAAAGCTGTAAAACACTAAAATGGGTTGCTCTTTTCAAGAAATCATGGATTGGTGACTGGACCCACCTATCACTACTGAAGTTACCGTATTGCATAAGGACTGAAAAATGGTAAAAAAAAAAGGGTAAAAATGGGTTACTCTTTTACCGTTACCCCGAGCCCTATAATTACTTAACTGAAGTTCATCTAGGACTGACAATTCTCGACACGACACGAAATAAATGGGTTTGAGTTAAGTTTTTTAACCCGCCAACCTGTTTATTAAACGGGTCATATATGAGTTTCTCAAAAAATAAACGGGTTGACCCGCCAACCAATTTATATTCTTAATAAAAAAAATTATTTTATTTTAAATGCATTTATGTATCAAGTATTAATATTTAATAAATATTATATAATATATATATCATTGATTCATAGACCATTTGACTATTTTGATATTTTGACTCGTGGTGGATGGCCTAAGGTTTTAAGTCGTAACCTATAAGGCAAAGTATGTAACATGTTTCTATGAATGTTTTTAATTTTCATTTGAATGTTTAATACTTAAATGTCTAAAATTTGGATATGTTTGCATCAACCATCAAAATTTTATTCATGTTTAATTGTCAATTTTATTTATGAAATCTAACCCACGAACCTTCCAACCTGTGAACCCGTATAAATAAATGGGTTGGTGGGCCCACCAACCCGCCAACCCGAACACGACACGATTGCCAGACCTATATTCATCCCCAGTTGCTCGCCACCACCGATCCACCACCACTATCAACACCTTTTTTTTTTTTAGAATTTGGTATGAATTTTGTTTTCATTTGGTAACTTTTAGCATAATTCAATGCTTTCGTAGTTCAATTTTCTACGAATTTTATGGAACAGCACTGTTAGATGTTATGAGTGAACAGGATGAAATTGAGTCGTTCAATATTCGCTTTTGGCTTCTTCTAGTAACGGTTCAATTCCTCTAAGTTTCTGCTTGCCTATAATTAGGTTGATCTGCAAGAACAGGTTAGAACTCCCGGAATTGGTCAGAAGAAGTGGAGTTGAGGTTTATTCACAGGTAGTTTGTGTATAATATAGTCTCAAAGGCTGATTATTGCTTTATGAGAAACTATTCTTAATGTTAGGGATAATATACTAGATTAATCATTTATCTGTACCTTCAAGCTTGAGTTTTCTTTCTTCTTTTGGTTTGCCTACTAACAGATACATCATAAAGAGTTTCTTCATTCAATTTAAATAAGTTTTATTTGATTTGGTAGAACCTGTTTGTACTCATTTCTGTTGCAGTTCGAGGGAGTCTGAAGGGACATGGTAGTTTGTCTGACAATTCCTCCTTGTATGGTAAAACGACTCTGACACATGAAAGGAAGTTTAATCAACAAAAAACTTGGAGAAATTTGGCAATTTGTGCAGAGTACAAGTAAGATACCATGCGCTTCTTCTCCAATAGTAAATTATAATTCCTAAAAAATTATCTCTTGCATGCATATGGTATTTGGTTAAATTCCACTTAATAATATCTATGTCCAAGTACAACAGGTTGTCACGTGTGCCTTTGCTAATAACACAATAATTAACCACATGGAAATGGGTATTAACCACAGTTAGTTGACTAATTATATTGATGTTGTCCTGTATTTAAATACCCATAAGGCTAACAGTTTATATTTTCATTTGGCTGTAAATGTCTTAATTTATTGTTTGAAAAGTAAATTACTAACTTATGCTTTCTTGATGGGACCACAAATAAGGAAACTATAGATCCTCGTTATTGTTCGTTGCATGTAAATTTGGATATGAATTTAACATGTTTAACAAATAGACATCATATATTCGTTATATGATCATTTTTAGATTTTGTACAGACCATATATCAATTAGCTTTGGTCTGTTATACCTGAGTAAACTGTTGGATATAGTGTCTAAGTCCATAACTTTATTTGGTATGAACTTGACCCGACCTGGCATGGTCCATTT